TAGGCGTTCAAGGTAAGGTGACCCACTCTCTCCTTTGTTATTTATTTGGTTATGGAAACGTGGGATGGGTTGATGACCAAGGCCATAGGTCTGCAACTTTTTTTGGGTGTTAGTGTGGGTCGTGGAAGTAGTACACTGGATGTTTCTCATCTTTTGTTTGTTAATGATACCTTAATCTTTTGCACCCTGATGTGAGAAACCTTTTCCATTTTGAGGTGTATCCTTTTATGCTTTCAAGGGGTATTGGGTTTGAAGATCAATCTCCAAAAATCTGAATTGGTTAAGTTGGGTGGCGTTGGAGATGGGAGTCTCTATGCGGCGGTACTGGAGTGTAGAGAAGTTACTTTACCGATCAAATATCTTGGTTTGCCTTTGGGGGCTAGGTATAAGAGTAGCTCCTCATGGGATTTTGTTTTGGAAATGTGTGAGAATAGGTTGGCTGGTTGGAAGAGAAAGTTACTGTCAAAAGGGGAGAAACTTACGTTGATAAAAAGCACCATGGCTAACCTTCCAATCTATTATTTGTCAACTATAACGATTCCTGTGAATGTTGTGAGAAAGCTGAAAATTTTACAATGCAATTTTCTCTGGGGTGATGATGAGGAGACACATAGATTTCATTTGGTAAAATGGCATGAAATAAAAAAACCATTAAAGTATGGGGGGTTGGGTATCAGATCTATTGTCTAGTTAAATGTGGCCTTGCAGGGGAAATGGTTGTGGCGTTTTTTACATGAGGAGGACAGATTGTGGAAGTAGATTGTCTAAATTCATTGGGGTGATCTTGTGTGGGATGACAGTGGGGTAACAAGGCCCAGAAGAACCCATGGCAAGAGTTTATGGAGGAAAATTCTGATGCAATGACCATTGTTTAAGGAAAATTTGCAGTGGAAGGCTGGTAGGGGCAACAAAATCAGATTTTGGAAGGATGCCTAGATTGATAATGTGTCTTTGTTGAACAGGTTTTCTAGAATTTATTCTATTGCGCAGGCACAAAATATGCTGCTTCAGGATGCATATATTTCAAGCTCCAGTAGTGTTGTTTGACTGATCAATGTTACTAGAAATTTGTAGGACTTGGAACTCAGAGAATTTGAAAATCTGTTATGTTTATTGTCTGCCCAACAGTTGATTGATGGTGAGGACAAGGTGCGTGGAAGGCGGATAAAAGTGGGGTTTTTTCTGTCAAATCTTACTACAAGCACTTAATTAACAGAAAATAATGTCAGGAGCTTAATTCTCCCTAGTAGACAGATTTGGAAGGCTAATGTCCCTCCTAGAGTTTTTTTTTTTCGCATTGGAAGCGAGTAGAAAATGCATATTGACAATTGATAACTTAATTGCACAGGGGCACAGATGTTATTTATGTATGGCTGATGCAGAAAGTTGCAGGCATGTTTTGTTGTGGTGTCCGATGGCGTTTGGTTTGTGGAGTACCATTTATAGGTTGATTGGGGTTAATTGGGTGATGGCTGGGTCTATTAGGGAGGAGTTGTGAGCGTGGGATGGAATTCATTTAGATAGAAAGTTGAAATATATTATTCCATTATCCTTGTTTTGGATTCTTTGGAAGGAAAGAAATTCTAAAGCTTTTAAGGATAAACCTATTGATTTGTATACGTTGAAAGATATGTGAATGCATTATTTTGAATTTTTATTATTAGGGCATGACATGATTAGTGATGTAGATTTTGGGCATGTCATAGACTCACTAACTATATTGTAAAATTTTATGTATAGGGGCGGTACCTCCGGTTTTATGGTACCATGATAATATGGTTCATACTTTTTATTTCAAAAGAAAAAGAAACTCTAATTAGCTTTAGGCACACTTCTCCTGATTATTAATTTGATAAATTTGAAGCTGATGCTGTTCGTTTTATATCTTTTTTCTCGTATTTGTTTCACTCTCTCCTTGTTCTACATCTTTAGGTTTTATCTTCTATGGATTAGATTTTCTGGTTGAAAAGCCACATCATCTTTGGGCGCATTTTGACTTTGATGTCACTACTCTTTCTTATGAATTGATAACCTTAATGCCTCTTGCAGGCAGTTCGGAGGATGAAAACTTCTCCACTGACTGCAGAGGAGATTGGTCGTATTCAGGAGGTAATTTTATTAATAATCATTGTAATTTTATATTTGGCTTTTTGCTTTCCTTTCGACTAAAAGCTGTCCTATTCTTACAAGGACTTAAACATGCCCAGGGACTTGGGGTTTTTAAACTTGATTGGATGTCTGTATGGAAATTCATTGTGCCATATAGAGACCCATCCCTATTACCCAGGCAGTGGCGCATAGCCCTTGGAACTCAGAAGTCATATAAACAAGACGCAGCCAAGAAGGAGAAGCGACGGGTCTATGAATCAAGAAAGAGGAAGTCAAAAGCTACATTGGCGAATTGGCAACTTGCATCAGACAAAGAGGTGTATTTTCATCTTTACAATTAGATAACTGTATTGCTATCAAAATGCTTTAGGTCATATATGCACACACTGACTTGCTCGGATGTCAGATCTCAATGGTAAATGGGATGATACCATGAGTTGTCTGGCTTTTGCCTTGGCTTTATTCAGGCTCTTCACGTTTTAAGGTTTTACAGCATCATTGAATATAACAAAACATTTGCTCCAGATTATTGATTGTTAAACTATGAGATAAAACAAGTCATTCCTGGAAATGTAAACCATGTTCGTTTATTAATCATTTAAACCACTTGCCTGGTTTGGATAATTACTCAGATAGTCTCTTTTAAGAGCATGGCTGTAGTAATCCCCAGTGTGTATTCTCATCTGTCTAGTGATAGACATTTCATATTGAATAATTCTGTCTGTTCTATTGAGTAATAGTATGGATGCATGAATGCATGTAACTTTTCTTGGTAGAGAAATGCGTGTGCATGCAAGTTGAGCACACTTCAGTAACTACACTATTTTTGGGCTGGTTTCACTAGCCTCCTAATTTAGAGGATGGTGATGAGTAATTGGGGGTTCCTTCTCATGGAGAATCTTTTAACTTAACACATTATCTCTGTTAATTGCAGGATTACCAGGCTGAAATTCCTGGGGCAGAAAATTATAGTGGAGACGATAATGCAGAAATTGCAGGGGATGCATATGTCCATGAAGCATTCTTGGCAGATTGGAGGCCTGGCATGTCCTATCTCATTTCTTCTGCAAATACTTGCACTAACAACAGAGAACAAGACCTTCCTAATGATACACCACCTGGAGTTGATACTGATCTCAGAGAACAACCAGAAACTCATGTGTCTGGAGAAGCTCAACCGTCCGTTGGTAATATGCACAGGATCCCGTGTGGGTTAAACTATTCTGTGCAACCTTCATCTCATATAAGTCATGATAGGCAGACTGCGGCAATCAACATGCTATCAAATCATCTGGGTTCTGGGATAACATCAGGTACCTCAAAACCTCAAATCTTTTTGCGGCCATATCGAGCTCGTAGATCAACCAATCAACATCTAGTGAGATTAGCGCCTGACTTACCCCCAGTAAATCTGCCACCAACCGTTCGTGTGATTTCACAATCAGTTTTCAAGAGCAATCAGTTAGATGCATCTACAAAGCCTTCTGTTGCCCAAGGCAGCATTGGTGATGGTGGAGGGGAAAATACGGCTCTACTTCCTCATGTTGTAAAATCAGGAGCTGCATCTTTAGTTAAAGCCAAAACTGATACAGATAATCCTGTAAGAGAAAATATGACAAATTCATGCCAAGACCTAGAAGAATCTGGACATGTGAAGGAGAAACATGTTCAGGACAAAAGAGGCACTGATCCTGAGTTTCAGATGCATCCCTTACTTTTCCAGTCCACAGGTGATAGACATCTGCGATATCACTCTTTGGACCGTAACCTAGATGGATCTAGTTCTTTCAGTTTCTTTTCTGAAAATCGGCCCCAACTTAATTTAAGTCTTTTTCATAATTCAAACCAAACCACTCAAGTTGTTGATTGCTTAAATAAGGCTATGAAGATAAGGGAATCCAATGCAGCATCAGTTGGTGTGGACTTTCATCCACTTCTGCAAAGAAATGATAATAAAAACAGCAACTTGTTGAGTACATGTACATCTCCACACCCATATGTTCAATTGGAAGGCAGATCCAGTCAACTTCACAGTCCTGATGCTGTCAAGAAGTTTCCAGTCAGTTGTCCATTTACCATTGGCTCTAAGCATTCCAGTCCTAATGTGAGAGCTAATGACCTGGATTTGGAGATCCATCTAAGTTCTGCATCCATTAAGGAGAAAGACACACTGGAGATTCAAAAAACTTGCCATCTATCTCACCCGCACACTGACAGTAGCCCTGCAGCTTGCAGTAAGCTCCTACCAGGGATCACTGGATCGGTTGCACCTAGCAATGATGTTGGGAGATGCAACATGGAGGATGTAAGTGACCAGTCTCATTTAGAGATTGTAATGGAACAAGAAGAGTTAAGTGATTCTGATGAAGAAATTGAAGAACATGTGGAGTTTGAATGTGAGGAGATGGCTGATTCTGAAGGGGAGAGTGGTTCAGGCTGTGAGCAAATAGATGATGCCCAAAATAAGGTGCCTGTGCTCTTCCTTCTTTTTTCTTTTCCCTAGTATTCAGTTCCGGCTAAAAAGAAAAAGATCATCTTTGAACAGGACATTTCCATAAGTTTTGACTCTCTACTTTGACCTCTGTGTAGGAGGTTCCTGATGCTACAGCTGAAAAAGCTGGAAGTGGTGCAGATTCTGATGGTGGGCAACAAGAACCAGGAATCCTCAGTCAGCCTCAAGGCAATACTCCTGCCCTAGGAAATGGTGGCCGTTTAAGGTTAGGGTTGACGGAGCTAGGAAAAGATCCCACAAACCACTCATGGCTGAGTTTGGACCCATGTGTTGCAGCTCATGTGTTATGCAAAAAGACAGAGCATGAAAATAATGTGACCGTCAAAGATTTTGCTATGAAAAACTTGGTCTCTTGTCGTGCTAGCAGATCTTGCAAGAAGACACCGCTAAGCACAAAGAAAGTTGCAGCATCAAAGCAAGTCACGGAGATGGCACTAAGCCTGGGCCCTCTTGCAAGTTTGAGGAAGCGAAAAAAGCGT